ACTATTTAGGAATAGCACACGTACGACGAGTCAAGTTAAAACCCGAAGGCTAGGAATGATTACGGTTAACCTATCACTACAAAGTGTGTATGCGATTGGTATACACAAAGCGATGATAGACGGACCAGGTATGAATTCAATTATGAAGTTCAAGAAAAAGCCGACCTATATTACTAGTGAACAATACTAACATTTAGAAGAACATAAGTAAAGAAACCCGAATCCACACGACCTATACCGGTCAAATCAACAGACAGGATAATGAAGGTCCGTTGGAACACCCACACTAGAATCTAGATTCACTAGGGAACAAGAAGAGCAAATGGAACAGAAGTGCCCACATCCTCCCTCAAACAATTAAAGTCCTAGTAGAAATGTGAATTTCGGGACGAAATTCTCTCTAACGGGGGGATAATGTAACACCAGCAAAATTAGGGTAAAAATTTTAACTTTTATAAAACAATAATTGGGATATACCAAGTGGTATATATCGTAACGAGGTTTCCAAAAATATAAAGAACACTAAAATCCGAGTTATAACGAAGAAGTTATGACCATTCTAAGATTCCCGACAAAACCGGCAATACGGATAGACGTAAAAACGCGAAGTTCCGATACAATAGTTTTTAGCCTTAGGTATCTAAATGAAAGTCGTAGAAATCCCAAAACCGTAAACTTACGTAAAAAGAACGCCCAAATCTGACTTCGTATGAGGAAGTTATGATTTTTCGAAGTTTCTGACCTAGCAGTAGACAGCTAAAAACTCGAAATAGAGATCGAGCGGTCTTTAGCCGACACAACCTAAACGAAAGTTGAAGTCCCCGACAATAGGAGTACAACGGTATAAAGTCTGACGAAAATGGACATCAGACGAAGGAGTTACAGAATTTAAACGGACTTTTCCAGGTCCGGCCTGTTAAAAATAATATAACTAAAAATAAAGTCAAAATTAGCCGACCAAGTCTAAACGAGAGTTGTAGAGTATATTCTCACCTACGCGTGCATATAAAGAACGTCGAAAACGGAGCTCGTATGCGAAAGTTACGGATTTTACAAGTTCGAGGCCCGAAATCCGAGGCTGTCAGGTCTGCCACGACGTGGCACCCAAAAATCTACCCTATAAATAGCAGCTTAAGGGTGTCGGGTTTGGTGCTCATCTCTTTCCGTCTAAGTGCTGTTACTCTGCGAAATTACCTCGATAAACCATCCCGAAGCCCCGGTTTTCACACTCAAGTCCCGAAGGAAGTTCTACACTCTCGAGAGTCCCGAGAATCCCGAGATTTTCCCGCGTTTTCAGCTCTTCCTGTCGAAGTTCTGCTCGATTCTTCTCTCGACTACTTCAATCAAGTGAGTTCATACCCCTACAAACACACTTTAAATACGTTTTTAAATGCTTTTAAACACTTTTAAGGGGGGGGAATACAAGTAAACACACGGCTAATATCGTGTGAAACATCGATCTTTTGCTATACTTTTCATACTGTTGTTTTAACTATCATATGAAGTTGTTTATCATGCAAAACACCTTACAACACAACTTTACCCTCTTGGGATACAATATGTTTTATAAATAGAAATATGTTTTATTTATACGTTTACATACTACATCATATCAAGGGTAACCATCTTTGTTAAACCATTTTATGCATTCAAAGAACTTATGATTTATGCTTTGTCAAACATTATGAAATAGGATAAGTATTTCATACAAAACTATCATTCTAATATAGACTTAGTTGAAAATCCGTGAGACATCTTCAATGCTACCTTTTTGCGAAAAGGTACAACTTAAAGTCCTGACGATTATAACCAGAGTCTCCCGTGGGAGAGCGTGTCAAATGTGTATAGATCTATACGGGAAGTCATGATCCCGCGCCCTGATTGTTAGCTACAGTCCTTTGGGTGACAGTTTGGTCTAAACGATATGACGCCTGAAGACCGTTGCCACAGGCATATTATGTTTAGTATGGTTATAAAACTCACCGGATAGACAATTATTATGGTATTATGCTTTTATGAACGAGTAGCTATTAAAACTATTCTTTATCTAACAAGTGCGATCTTCGTATAGCTTTATTATATAAAACTATGCCTCAACTTTTAAGCACGTCGGTTGCTTGCGATTTTCGGTCTTAGAGACTGCCTGTTACGTTAGGAAAATAAGGGTTTTTCCTGTATCTAAAACAAATAACTAATAGGAAAATATGGGATTTTCCTGGTGCACTATTTACAATTCACAACGCGAACATTCATATGCATTTCATACTTTTATAAGAAAATAAGGGTTTTTCTTGGAAAACACAACGAATCATATCTCATCTATTAGGGAAAATATGAGATTTTCTGGATCTAATACATTCATTTTCAACACAACGAATCATAACTCTTTTCATTTGAAAATAAGGGATTTTCTGGAAAACATACACGAACTTTGGAATGGCATACATTTTCTCAAAACCGCTTATGAACTCACCAACTTAAATGTTGATACTTTCTCTTTGAAATAACTTGTATTCTCAGGAAATCGCTAAACCAGGTTAGCAACAACTTTTGAAGACTTACGCTCAGGCGTTAGTTTAATCTTTTGGATATCATATTGTAATTTCTTTTACAAACATGTAACACATACAATCATGTAAACTTTTCAAATATATTTATATTATGGTGGTGTGTACTTTCTTTACTATTCATTTGTTATGATACTTGACATGACGTTCTCCGCCCCGAACGTTTCCGTCGTTCTGGTTTGGGGGTGTGACAGGACATGTTTCCAAAAACTAATACTACCCTCTGTCCATATCATTTTTTTGGAAATGGGAACAGAAAAAAGGTAGTGGTTCCTGTAAGGTTCACTCGAGTGATATCATTAACCATAAGGTTTAAAACTTTTATGATGATTCAATGAAATCATTGGGTTAAGGATTTGGTATTTGGGTATTGGGGAATTAAGCGGATAGGCTTAATTATGGAGAACTAATGTATGATATATTGTTTTGGACATCCATGAGTACGCTCCATGTTAGGATGTTTTCGCATTAAAAGTAACTTGTTTTTCTTTTTAAAGTCCATAGTTGGCCATGGTCGCTAGTGCAGTCATGATGTTCAACTAATATGTTGTTTTGGTGACATTGATGAGATTGAATGTATCTTAGCTGAAGAACCAAAACCATGCATATTCATTATTGATGAATATTGGAATTGACCCACTCTAAAATTATACTTCATGAATATTTTTTATTAAGTTAATCTAGACAGATGATTATGAGGTGTACATCCATAGGATTTGTTCCTCCAATTATTTAGAGTTTGATATCATATAGGCTGTTTGATGAGTAAATAAATTGAAATGTGCGACCATGCCCAGATTCGACTTAATGCACTCGCAAAAATAAGAACTCCTGAGCATGTTACTTTTCAATCCATGAATTAGAGCTCTATATATAAGAATGGAGGGATATCTAGACTAGGTGAATAGTTGACCACTAAATGTTAGTGGAAGTTTTGTGGATGACAATGTCTTCACATATATTTAGAGACAATGATATGTTTTCATACATTTATTATTGTCGGTATATGTTCTGGTTTCTGTTGTTCTTTTGCATATACGGGAATATGTTAGATTTAATGCTCATAAAAATAAAATAATAAACTTTTGTTTCGGTTTATACGTGACATGTGTCCAATACTTAAGGGGATAAAGGAAACATAAAAATAATAATATGTATAGTGTATTATTATTTATTATTTACCAACTAATAATAAATAAGAATTAAGAGTTTGTTTGTTATTTATTAAGAGACAAAATAATTTAACATTTATTTATTTATTTAACTAATAAAAGGTTTTTATTAACTAGTTATGATTAAATTATTAAGAGTTAATTATAAGAGCTTTGGACTTTATTTATTAGACAAGAAAGATGTTTGAGAAAAAAACCATAACCATCATAAATAAAATCTCTCTCTCTCTCTCTCATTGGTAGTCTAGTGAATATTGTTCTTGCTCTTGCCGTGTCGATCAACCATAAGGGATTATCTATATTGATATTATGTCTATCATATAAGATACAATTCTAAGCACATCATGGGTTGATTAGTTGTTGGTTTATATTGTTATGAATAAATCCATGCCTTTCAGATTGATTGGAAATTTTTAATATGTTAATGTATATGTTGTTTGTATTTTTATGTATGTATTTCTACATCAATTCCCCAACAATATCATTATTAACACAATGATATACAATCCTAAGTTGAATATCTCTTGTTTTATAGTTTTAAAGCTTGATTTTAACTTCCACTAGGAATCACATTAGCTTTATATCAAGATCATGATCTAGACATGAATTGATGCATTAATTTCACCAAACTCGTTTATGATTGATGATTTAAACTCTATTCAATATGCGAATTGATGCTCTAATGAATTAGAAACCAGTCCAATTCAAATCGCAAGTTACAACTTCCATTTAAGCGTTAAAGGAAAACTCATGAGTTCATAACGATTACAATTGGAGTAGGAAGCTTTTTTAATTGAACTTATAACCAACAAATTTAATTCTAACTGATTTGATATCTACTCTTTTGTAACACGCATCCAAGAACTCAATTCTTAACAAATATAAAAGAAATTATATAATTATACTTTGTATCTAAGATTCAGTTGAAAGTTGAAACCACCAAAAACCCAAATTAAATTTTAAAATTTAAATTTGTCAAGTTTGATTGAAATTGAAATTAAATTTCGGTTTGGATAATCTAATGAAACTGAAAACCAATAATTCGGATCAAATAAAAAAAATATAAACACATTAAAAAAAGTAGCAAGCAATCTCGGTCATTATATAAATGAAAACCAATGGCCGAGATTACAAAATGGTTAAGACCACAAAAATCATGGCCATAGGATAAATTTGATTAAAAGCTGTAAATAGTTCATCTATTCACATTTTTTTTACTTTTATAACATTGTAGTTTGTAATTTTGAAATTAAATCTACAAATGTTGATGTGGAAACTTTTGAACAAAAAGAAAGCACCAGGAAAGGGGAAAAATAAATATAGAACATCTGAGAGGTATCATGGGAATAGGAAAGTAACGAGAAGGAGGGGGAACAGAAAAGTACAAAATTTCAAAGTCTAAGAAGAAGAAGAAGAAGAAGAACTAACAAACGGTTGTGGGTTTAAGTTTTGATTCCAGTTTAAATCAATCTCGCCTTCCATCTCTTTCTAGGTAAAGTTCTTCAATTACATCGCTTCAAGGACTTGTATTTTGTTCTAATATCTGGATTTTATTCGAAGATTACATGCTGTTAGTTTCCTAAAGGCTAAAACTGTTTTATTGGATTATTACTGCATGTATTAGGTTTTATCTTAAGATTTATGTACTCGGAATTTGTGTTTGAAAAGGGTATAGAGTCGTGTAGTTTCTTGACTTCATTATATGATTCAACTGATATGATTTCGCTTGTGTTTTTGGTGAAACTGAATCCATGGTAGTTTCGATATTTATATTGAAAATCCCTAATCTTCGATTTCTAGGATAATTGTCTTGAATGTATTAGATTTTGTGGAGGATTCATATGAATCTGGGTTAGAAGAAGAAGAAGAAAAAAGAACCTAGGAAAGAGAAACTCACACAAAGGGCAAGATAGAGAACTTGTTGATTCGATTGAACAGATTCCCTGTTCTTAAATCTGATTAAACATGTATTTCAAATTGAATATTTTGTAGATCTAGATAAACTTTAAAATCTCTTTATAAGTATGATCTTTGTTTTTCTTTATGATTAGGTCACACATCTGGATACAATTGGACACAAAGTTCAAAAAGCTGCTAATTCCCAAAAGACATACTCAAAGTCTCAAATGGATTAAATCAATCAAATCTTCATCATTCTTGTAATGATGTTGATACAAACCTCCATTGATGCTCATCTCTCTTCTCTTCATAACAATGGAAAACAAGAAATCCTATGTGTATGGATCCAAGATAATGATCATAAAAACAAGAATGATAGTTTAAGTTCTTCCCAAATATCAACCGAAATTAACATGTCAGAAACTTCTAAACCTAAACCTAATCTTGTATACAAACGCCGAATCATTCACAAAAATACCATTTCTACCCCTACCCCTACACCCACCCTTGTTTACAAACGAAAAAAAGTTCAAACCATTTGTTGCTCATCATCAAAATCAAACATGGAAAATTGGATCTTTTCCTTTAAAACAACAACAAACAGATGATATTGGTGAGTGTTCATCTTCAGTTGTAATGAAAGATACATCAGACACAAATTCATGCTTCAAGTTTCTTGAACACCATTTAGTGCTTCAAAGATTCAAAAGATTGAATGGATTGAAAGGAAGCTGTTTTAATAAAGTAAAAGATGTTGAAATTGAAAAGGGTATTTGTGGTTTGAGGGTATGTAAGGTTTGTGAAAAGTCAACGTTGACTTTGAAGATGCTGATTTGTGATCTTTGTGAAGAGTCTTTTCATATGTCTTGTTGTAATCTAAAGAAGGTTCCTGTTGGTGATTGGTTTTGTCATTCTTGTTTAAGAAAAAAACTCAAGAAAATGGAGGGAAAATCGCCAAAAGGTTATTTTGGTCCAATTGTGGATATGTTAAGAGATGTTGATTGTTATAAGTCGGATGCTCGTATTGGTAAAGATTTTCAAGCAGAGGTTCCTGATTGGTCTGGCCCACTTATCGAGTATGTGTTTCTATTTATTTTACATATTTACGATTTTTCCCTTGTTCTTTGTTTCAACTAGTATCAGTATAATGGAAGATTTTAGCAAATGACTCATGCAGCCAGCTTAATGATTACCACAACTTGTCTTCAGAAATAAACCCTTCAGATTCTGCTACTTATCAAGTAATATTTTATTATTCTTTTCTTTTTCTGAGATAATAATAATAATAATAATAATATAATAATAATAATAATGATTGTAGGATTGGGATTCCAGCAAGCTTTCTAGACTCAACTGTATTGGAAATTGGATTCAATGTAGAGAAATTGTTGATCATGAAAATGGAATTGTTTGTGGAAAATGGAGAAGGTATTCCTAATGCAAAGTATTTGTGTTCAAAAAGGGTATTTTGGTAAAAATACTTACTGGGTCTATTTTTTTTTGTATGAAATGTTACAGGGCTCCTCTTTTTGAAGTTCAAAGTGATAATTGGGAGTGTTTCAGTTCTGTGTTGTGGGACCCAATCCATGCTGATTGTGCTGTTCCTCAGGTATATATATATATATATATATATATATATATATATATATATATATATATATATATATATATTCATTCACAATCATAATCAATTAGGACTTTTTGTTTCTCTTAAAAGGGTAAAATAGTCTTTTTTTTATGCTTTTTCAGGAGCTCAGTACTGATCAAGTTCTGAAGCAGTTGAAGTATATAGAGATGGTATTGATAACAGAACAAGTTGTACTTTGTTTGACTTTGACTTTGACTTTGACTTTGACATGTATCTCCACTCTTGATTTGTTGTCTGTGCAAAAGACGTAAATGCCCTCTACAAACGTGTGTTGATGTATTATGTAAAATCCTTTGATATGAAATTTTTATTTTACTTTTTTTTAAAAAAAAAAATAGTTGAGGCCAAGGTTATCAGCAAAAAGGTGGAAGTTGAGAGTTCACAAGGGTGTAGATGGAGAAGAGCATACAGGGGACACAAGAAATACACAAAAGTCATAGATTTCATGTATCTAACAAATTTTATGCATATATTTTGTTTTTTGCTAACTTTACTTGGCAAGAATTTTGCCATATTATTCAAAGAATGTGTTATATGGTTGATTAACATTGAAACATGCTAACAAAATGTTATATTATAGGTCCCACCTCCAAACTTTTTATGACACAGAATTACTTAAACGGTTTGAAAATTTTTATATAGACATGTTTAAATAGCAGGTTTAGGGTTTAGACTTGTAAACATGTAATATATTGTCGGGTTGAAACAATAAATGGATTGAAAGAGCTTGATGTTTGATCACAATTTTACCCATTTAATTTTTGTGTTGTGTCGTGTTAAAACGTTGTTTAGTCTATGTTTGGTATATGCCACAGTCAGCTTATAAGCTAATTTATTTTTCAATGTTTTTTTTATTATTTTTTTTAAAGTTGTAATGTTTTTAGCAAATCAAACATTTGCTTATAATATAAACTAGCTTTTTAAAAAACTACTTAGACTAGTTTTTTAAAAACTTTGTAGAGCATTTACAAATTGCAATTGTACCATTTATTATTATTGAAGTAAGTGGATGTTTGGTTTGTAGAATGTTTTTGGAATGAATGAAATCTATCAAAATAATCGGAATTGATTGAAATTGGAATCTGTTATGCATTTAGTTGGCATGAATGGAAGTTGTTCTTCTGTTTGAATTGTAGATTCGTTAATGAATTAAAAAGTAATTTATATAATATTATCAATATTCCATTTTACTCATTTTTTGTAACTTATTATTATTTTTAATAAAAATGAGAAAACGTTCATTAATTCAACTATTACCTATTTAAACCCACGTGGACATGTTGGCGTAGGCGTAAGCAAATGGGAGTTGGTATAGGTGTCGGTAACAACGTCGACATTGGCGTTGACATGGGCATAATGGCGTAGCATATGGGCATGGGCATGTAGGTGTGGTTTTGGGGCAGGTGGGTGGGTTGGGGAAGGGGTATGTGGGGGTGTTTGTGAAGGTGGAGTTGGTGATGTGAGAGATAGGGAAAACTGCAATAAAGTCCCTACATAATGGCCTCATAATCGATTTAGTCCATATATATATTTTTTATTCAATTAAGTCTCAAATACCGGTAATCGTATTCAATTTAACCCTTTGACCCGGTCAACAGGTCATCCAACGTTCAAAAATTACATTTTTGGTCCAGATTTCAAATTTTATTACAAATTCGGTCCATAATTTACACTTTTGGCCCAGATTTTAAATTTTGTTACAAATTTGGTCCAAACTTTACCCTTTTTGCCCAAATTTTAGAATTTTATTATGAATTCATCCTAACTTTAGATTTTTTACAAATTTCTTTCTCAAAAAATTGTTTCTAATATGTTTTTTCTTTATAAAATCATATTTATAAAAAAAAAACATATTTTCACATAAAAATCTTATATTTTCTATATAAAAACGTTTTTTAAAAAGCTTTTTGTATATGAAATATCTAGTTATAAAAATATGTATTTGTTAAGTATATAAATATATACAAATCCGTTTTTATAAAAAATGTATACAAAAACGTATTTTACAAAAAAAATGTATACAAATTCGTTTTTATATAATACGTGTTTGTATACATTTTTTTTGTAAAATACGTTTTTATATACATGTTTTTTTATCAAAACGGATTTGTATATATTTATATACTTAATAAATACCTATTTTTATAACTAGATATTTCATATACAAAAAACTTTTTATATAGAAAATATAATATTTTTATGTGAAAATACGTTTTTTTTGTATAAATATGATTTTATACAAATCCGTTTTTATAAAAAAATGTATACAAAAAAGTATTTTACAAAAAAAATGTATATAAATCCGTTTTTGTATAATATATGTTTGTATACATTTTTTTTTTGTAAAATACATTTTTGTATATATTTTTTTTATAAAAATGGATTTGTATATATTTATATACTTAATAAATACCTATTTTTATAACTAGATATTTCATATACAAAAAACTTTTTATATAGAAAATATAAGATTTTTATGTGAAAATACTTTTTTTTTGTATAAATATGATTTTATAAAAAAAAACATATTAAAAGCAATTATTTGAGAAAAATAGTTGTAAAAAAAAACTAAATTTAGGATGAATTCATAATAAAATTCTAAAATTTGGGCAAAAAAGGTAAAGTTTGGACCAAATTTGTAACAAAATTTAAAATATGGGCTAAAAGTGTAAATTTTGGACTGAATTTGTAATAAAATTTAAAATCTGGGCCAAAAATATAATTTTTGAAAGTTGGATGACCTGTTGACCGGGTCAAATGGTTAAATTGAATACGATTACCGGTATTTGGGACTTAATTGAATAAAAAGAATATATAGGGACTAAATCGATTATGAGACCTATATGTAGGGACTTTAATGTAGTTTTCCCGTGAGAGATATGATGATAATATTTTTGATTGGATAACTATGACTAAGATAAAGATGAGGTGAGAGAATATTTTTTTCTTTATAATAAAATAAGAAACGAAATTTAAAATCTTTGCCTTTAACTAAAGAAAGACAAATTCCATGAGATTTTTTTGATTTTGTCAAGCAAAGACAGTTTTAGTAAAATTTAAATTCCAATTTCTATAAAAAAAATTTAATTTGTAACACTGAGTATAAGGTAAACACTTTTTCTGAATCTCTGATCAAAATTTTGAGTTTTAACCCTGGTCACGACGTGAGCACTTATGTGTCACGACGTGACCACGTCGGAAGAAATGTCCATATCTTTAGGAGTCACGACGTGACCACTTATGGATCATGACGTGAGACCTGTTGCGAACCTAACCCTAAATTCAGGGATTTTTCCCGTAAAGGAAGTGAGGGCTAGGGTTAGCCCACCCTCAGCCTCTATCACCTCCTAACACTCCCCCTTGAAACCCTAATCCTCCATAGTTGATTTTGAGCTCCATTTGGGTGTTTTGTAGACAAGAAGAATGAGAGAGAGAGAGAGAGAGAGAGAGAGAGAGGGAAAGAGAGAGAGAGAGAGAGAGAGAGAGAGATTGGTGCATCAACTCAACATTCAAGCTTCACCATCATCCATTTTCACACCTTCTGGACCATTGTGAGTTTCCAAGTTCAGTGCTATATGAGTCTATAAGCTTATATCTAGGTTTTTATGCACTATCTTTCATGCCTAGGCTTGATATAGTGATGGGGGTCCATAAAGTGGCCAACTTTATTGATCTCCAGTGTCCCTTTGATGAGATAAGTGTTGGATCTGAAGTATATATGGTTAGGTTTTTGGATTCTTGCATGAGATCCTAACCCCATTATTTTCTTGTTTTGCCCTAGCTTGTGTGTGGGACATGCATGTCCAAAAAGCTATGATTTTTATGGTATTCTTGGATAAAGGAAGCCTTATAGAAGGTCTCAATTGCAAGGCTTAAGGGATTAAGTGACCTTGGAATGTTGTGACGATGGAAGAATCATGATTATTCTATCTTATTAGGTCACGACGTGACCAATAGATGGTCACGACATGATGACTGACTAAGTGACTGTGACAACCGTCAAATTTCGCTCAAGTCAAAGTCAAACAAAGTCAACAAGTCAAACCGGTCAACTCCATTAACCCTTGTATGTTAGGGTTTACATTATACAATTCGCTATTTCAATGAGAAAACATCATTTGAAAAATTCATGTGTTTGATTTTCCTTAGCCTTAAAAGTGCTAAACAACAAACCAAAGCGATAAAACACTATTGCACAATCATCGGGATTGTGTAAGACACTAAATCATGGCTTAACGGGGTTTATGGACCTTTCGTTGCGAAGCCGGACTCTCAAAAAGATCACAAACGAAACCTCTCACAATCTCTTTCACTCAACCTCTCTCTATTAAAATCTCTCCCAAATCTCTCCCGAATCTCTCCCAAATCTCTCTCAAAAGTTCCTTTAATTTTTTGTAATCATTCGGGCCATCCCGACCCTTAACTGGGTCAAAAACCACTTGAAACGGGGTAAAAAACGGGTAAAATAGGCTTAAGGACCCAAAACTGAAGCTTCAGGACCGAAGTCCCTGTCATAAAGGAAGACGACACACATTTATCTGTCGTAACCTTACGACTCGCGTGTTGATGACACGCAATGAGTATCAAGGAAGCCCCTGTCATAAAAGAAGACGACATGCATGTTTGCGTGTCATAATTTTTCCGGTTTTTCGACTACGACTTCGTTTTAACTCCGTTTTTCATTATTTTAACGTGGGATTTTCACCCAAAACTTTATTTTATAAACTAAGGCCCCAAAATATATAAATCTCCAGGGTTTTTAGAAAAATGTATTAAAAGAATTGGTGGTTGGACTAATTATTGAGGGAATATTTGCTTTTCCTTATTTTATGACAAAAGCAAGCCACCACCACCTCACTCTATGATCATCCACTCTTTCCCACTACTCCTTGTCACCTTAGTGGACCTTTACACCCAATCTCCAGCTCTTCCCATGTTCTAAGAGCTGGAGGATTGATCCTCTCTCCTCATTCTCCATAAAGTTCTTTCATTCTACACTTAGCAACCAAAGGACACTCTCCAAAATTCTCTCATCTTTTCTCTCAATTTCAAGAACTTCAAGGCTTTCTCCAGGGATTTATTCCTTCAATTAGTAAGTATCTTCATCATTCACATAATTATTAAACTCCATTCTACTCAAATCATTGATATCTTACACAAATTCCATCTTATTCGGTGTTAGATTCTCGAATCATCAAGACATCTTCTTAGTGTTCTTGGGTTGAACACTTCCTCTATCTCACTTTCATCTACTGAAATCACATAAGGTGAGTTCATACCCATACATTTACATGTTTTTCTTAAGTTTTAAGGGGGGAATACAAGTAAAATCATCAAGAACACAATTAAACTTTTTCTAACAGATTACATCAGAAAAGATGGACTTTAATCACGGACTGTTTTGGTCAACTTAAATATTTTAGTTTTCAAAACTGTTCCAGGTGCAAGTAGTTCAAACTCTTAGCTTTAAAATGGCTACTTGCACATCTCCATATGATTTTTCTACAATTTATGGTGATTTTTACAAAACTGCCTGTCATTTCAGAGGCAAACCCGGACCAGTCTGTGATTATGAACATTTTCACCTCTGTTAGAGATCACTAAAAATCATGGTAAAATTTACGAA